ATCCTCTCTGCAGAGGGCCCGACCATCTAATGCCTTCGACCTCAATAGCGTGTCCAAGCCCTGAGAGACTTCCTGATGGAGATGCTGCTACAAGTACCTACCGCCATTGCAAGAAGCCTCAGGGCCGAGGACCGACTCAGGTCTATACACAAATCGTAGCCACCATGCAAGCTCAGCTAGCGATGCGCCGGGATTCTCGTTAGGCGATACTGACAGTGAATGACGATATTAATGATCATTCGTTCTTATCCTGTAGCAGAGAGTTACGACCACTTGTGTTGCACAGAATAGAACTCTTTACAATGTCCACACGTTGGAGCATGAGAAAATGATCTTCGAAAAAATATATAAACACTCGTCTAAAGCTGTTCACCTAGGCCTACGCTAGGAGAAACGACATAGCAAGTGTTGCAAGATCATAGCAGAGAACGCACAGCCTCACCCAGAGCGCACTCTCTCGAGTCGACTATACATGCTAGTAGGTTCACTTCATTCACTCGATGGAGGCATCTGTCGAGCTGCGGCTTCTCGTAAGGTGATGGCGTTGGCGCTCCGGTACGCCAACCGCAAGTCTTACCAAGAGCTCGAGAGTATCTGATGACGACGCCTACGTACGACAAGTAGAGTGGCGATCCACCTGTCAGGGGAGTTGAGCCATGATGAGCTCACTTCAACTCGTTGCCATTCTACTGCACACCCAGCAGGGCCGCGACTAGCAACATAAATGCGCTCAACCTGAATCGAACCTGGGACGTCCGATGACCAAACAGCGCGCTTACCTCATCGGTAGAATATCTCTCTCTCACACTCGTGGCTCCAGCGCCATACCCGAATGTATACTCCGGGCTGGCAGTATCAGCCGCCATTAAAAGGCGCGATCCAACATTGCCGCCAAGACCCTAACATGAAGATCACCTTCAGCGCTTCCACCGGGACAACACTGTACAGCAAAAAGCAAACCCTCCCCCCAAATGATCCAGTAATGACGTTCTTCATGGAAAAGTACCTGAGACGGCGCCAAGTAGTATGGGAAGATATGCGCATGGTCATGACAATATGAAGAATGTGAGAAAATTTTGGGGAATGGGGAATTCTTTCTTTGTTTCTGTACTCTTCTGCCCTAGCTCGTATGTGAAACCCCATAGTGTGTGAAAAACTCCCAAGCTCAGCTAAGGAAAGCGAACATATATCTTGCTTTCAATTGAATACCACTCCCTCGTCTACTCACTCGAGATTCGCTGATAACTACAGCTTCAACTTCGGTGGACTGAGAGTTCGCGGTGTTAGAACACACCTTTCTCGGGCGCATATGTGTAATCTCACTACGAGAGGAGCAGAAGCTTATCATTATACCTCTCTCTTGCTCGAGTTGAGGTCCTAAAACTGAAAAATGCCGCCACCGGGGATCGAACCGGAGACCTCTACCTGTAGAAAGCCCAACACAGAAGCTCAGAGGACTGTCTCGTGTATCAACCTTCGGAATGTTATCATTTAATGTAATCTTGATTGCCAAAGAATGTCCCTTCAGAAAAGGTGGGACCACGCATAACGTTTCACCTGCACAAAAAGAGGAAAAAACTACAAGTCGATTCTCTCGTTTTCTTACCGATAATTTCATCAGCCTCATCGGGGCATATAGTAGTGACGGGGCCAACAACAACAGGATGCTTTTCACCAACATCAAGACTCGGAACACCTTTACCCTTTTGGAAGTGTGAGGACGTACACAACGGTGGCTTCCCCCCTCTACCAGAACACGGCCTAAGGGAACTTCATGGAGACCAACGCGAACTGACAAGCAGCAGTATGAAATACTTCTTTTTTTCCTGATGGTATTTCTCATCCGAATACGCTACCGTTGAAACCGCCGATCGGCTAAGCAGAGGAGACGGGGCAAGCTGTGGAGCTTTCGCCTTATCTGAAAATAATTACGATACCATACCACTCCATCACGAACACTGCCCACCCATGAAGAGGAGGAAGTCTTCTGCTCGTTTTCGATCATCTCTCTGCTGCTGAGACTCACTGACGGTAGTCTTGACAACTTCAAACCCCTCCTCGCTACACCCATCAGACGTATCAGATCCGCTCTTCCTATCGTTGCCATATTTTCGAGGGAAGCAGTTTCCCACGACATTTGGCACTAGATGGGACCACCCACGAGCACTGGAAGTATTCTTGTGATTGGCAACGTCAACGTATCGTGTTTTCATTCCTATTGAGTCGTACAAACAATAGTTATCACCGTCGTGATGGTAGCAGCGACGGGCCGTAGGTTTTTGACTCAAGTTGCAGACAAATAGGGAAGAAAACACCACTGAGGGTGCGAAGTTAGCCTACCCAAAATGCGTAAACTTCCGTAGTGAAAGATTCCAATAGCAAACAGGACTAAAATGCCGAGAATGATTTCGGGAGATCTGTAACCAGTTTAGCAAAATATACATTCGGTCAACTAGTTGTGTCGGTGACAATCCCAAAATTTTGATGAAAATTTTAGTTGTTTTTGTGAACACTTCTTCCATTTTTCCCTCTATGAACTCCCACAATTAGTTGAGAAACTCCTAAGATCAGCTGAGGAAGGGAAGCCCAATACTAATTCCAACAGTTCCTGTTACAAATCATCATCAACGCAACACTGTAGTATCTTCGAAATGATCGCAAGAATAATAAGCTGGAGTTTCACAACCCGTTTTACGTGAAGCGGCGTAATACTCCATGTGAAAAACGCGATATTCGCGGTGATATGCAGTAGCCGTGAGATATGTTTTCCATCAGAATATTCTCACTGCCCCAGCAGGCCGCCTGCACACAAAATCTGTCCCCTCATATTTGAACCAGTGCTAATGAATCCAACTTGACGCTGACAAAGATACCAATCAGGCACGGAAGCATGCCATAAACTTTGGAGTATTTTTATATGTCTATGACTATTCTCTTTCGACCCGCTACTATTTTCCTTGTCTCCTGGTTCACATTCGAAATATTTTTCAGAAAATTTGCGCATATAATTGCGCGAAAACCAACGAAAAATTTCCCACAATTTTCTCATAATTCAGATGACCATGTGCATTCTTCTGACCACACTGAAAGCAATTTCATGATATTCCCAGCCCGAAGAAGAACAATCGTTATTATCTTTTCCTGCTGTTGTCCACATTGTCTTTCACAAGCAGACCGCCTCACACAAATTCCTGTTAAATTGACCTCGCCCTTCCCAAAGTGACATATGACTAACCCTAGACTACCGGTGTGGCTAAATAGTGTACAAACAATCCAAGCGGTATGAAATGAAAGAGCGTCTGCTATCTTATTATATTTCAACTCAAGTCTTCGTCTGGTCACCACTGGCCTCTCTGGACTCCTTCCGTGGTTGTGTTTTAGATCCAACCTCAGCCTCGAGTTTCTCCAGACGCTCCACGATCGCGGCCATATCTTCAGTTCGATCATCAACCATGTTCGCCCGAGGTGACGAGGTAGTCGCTGGTTCGGAAGCTTTCACCAGAGGCATCGTGATGCTCTTCGTTGTCTGCTCTACCTCCCGGTCTGTCCCTCGGGAACGCGTACTATCGCTCTTGTCCCCCGTCCGGGTCGCTTTCCCAACACTACTCTCAGAGGGGAGGTCCACTCGACCCTCTACAGTCATCTTCCCCACGATATCAACCTCATGAGTCCGCTCAGACACGTTGACTGCCGATCCCTTTGGTGCCTCACTCGGCAGCGCCTTAGCGGTCACTACCTCTCCGGATACTTTCCCAACCTCACCGCTGGCTACAGTCTCAAGTCGAGCATCATCATCACCATTCGGCTCAGCCTCATTCTTCCCTTTACCGCTCTTCGTGACCGGGACCAACTCGAATTCTATCAGCTCCGGTGTAGTATTTGGTTTCGTAGGAGCCGCAGCCGTATACTGCGCTTGAGTCGGCACCGAGGCCGCTTGGGTGGTCGCGATGGTCTTGGGGACAGCATGCGTCGATGGTGAAGGGGAAGTCTCGGGGGGAACTGGTGGCTCTGTGGTAGCTGGTTCGTTCTCGAGTGTCGTGAGCTTCATCTTCAAAACCTGAAAGGAAAAGGCTCGACCAAAGCCACGCGGAAGTCTAAAAATTCCAAGCGGCTTTGGCGCAGTAGGTAGCGCGTAGGTCTCATAATCCTAAGGTCGCGAGTTCGATCCTCGCAGGCCGCACTTTATTCTTACCACTGTCCCTTGCTCTTCACCATACTTATCCTTCTTCACAACAGCTATGGGCCTCAACTCCACATTAATCCGCGAAGCGTCGATCATCGGGCCCACTTGAGCCAGTGCAAAATCAGACCCTACAAGCGACCACACTCCAGCCCCACCTGCCTAATAGGCAGCCACTCACCAGCGCCTCTTATTGGCTCCTCCTCTCGCGAAGGTAATCGAGCTCTTCGAGCATCGATATATAAATAAATAATCATCATCACTGCGAAGAAAGAGAGAATCTAAGAAAACTCATCAGAGAATTTATACCATTCCCACTGGCCTTACACTTATCCTCTGACAGTGATCATGCTTCCCTCGAGTGAAGCCCGCGAGTCCCCCGACATTTGAATAGGCGCCGCGGGCCATACGAGCCAATCACTGATGCACACGAAATCTACGTCATGCCGAATCGTGGCTTATAACCCGTCTCAAGGAGCCCTGCGATTTCAATGGATCTCAGCCGGCTCACACCCCCCCCCACACTGCAAAAATCCAACTTAGTCGAACAACACAAAACTACATGCACTGCCGATACCAATTTTATTCAACTGATTATGGTGGTACATCATAATGCTGATAGAATACGGATTGCAGACTATTGACGCCTATGTTCAACCACTTTTCGACCCATGCACACAACCCATTGACATAGTATATCGCGAAGCACTCTGATTAACGACAAGTACCTCCTTTCTGAAATTCTCTCTAGCCTCTTCCACCTCTCTCATTACCTTCCCTTGCTCCAAACCATACTCGACATACTACACCAACTATACCCACCGGTACATCCAGCATAAGGATAATATCTAGAGGACCTCCGCAAGACGTTGTCACAAAAAGTTACTCGTTGTAGACTTGTTACAACCCCAGCATCTACTCCTCCCCATCCCGCTAGCTCCATACTACTTGCTTTCCTATCTGCAAGCTCAGACCTTCTCTCCACCACAGACCACTCGTATGCCTCGCCGCATACCTTCGATGCACCCATATCCTTCTACTTTCCTTCCTCGTCACACTATTCCGTACTATCGCGAAAACCCCTCAGCCAAACTCAGGCAATTTTGTGCTGCTAACATGCTCAGAATCAATTCAGAAAACAATAGCAACAGGAAGTGTCTCATATCGTGCGATCCGGCATCACGAAACGTAAGCTCATGGGCTACCTTGCAACAGTTTCTCGATAACAATCCTGTCCTGATGGCTCTGTTCATCCCCTTAGCGCAGGGTGACTCAACGACTATGGTATACCCTACAGTCGAGCGCGACATCTACCCACGTTGTGTTCGTCAACGGTGACAGCCAGCGTGAAACAAGTACTACCACTCGTTTAGCTCTAGTGTATGTCCAACTCTCCCGTCTACCGCTTCTACGTCGGTCTTCCAATCAATTCTGGTCACGAAAGCACAGAACCCTTGTCGTTTCGAGGGGGGGGGGCGGGCGCAGCATTACCATATTACGCAATGTTGACAAAAAACTATGTATCACCGGGTCGAATCACTCACACTGCGCGATAGCTAGAATCCCTTTTCCAAGGTGATCGGTGTTTTAACTAACCTCACTTGTGCGTGCTCCCTCGAAAGCACCAAATCCCATGATAACCACACGGCGCTAATGAGAGTAACAAGTCCTCCTACCACTAATACTACGTGTCACGATAACAGTCTTGGAATATATGTTTCATTTCCTCAGCTGAGCTCCAAACGAATTCCGGTACGAATATACGAAAATCCATGAAGAAATCGCAAAATTTTCTCTCAGAGTTGTAATATATCCACCAACACATGTAGTTGACCATGTACATATTTTCCCACACCGCACAGCACTACCCTCCCCATCCCAGAGTGACTTCACCGAACACTATCATTTCAAACTGTCGGAAAAGTAACGTTATGCTCGCCTGATTTCATACGTTGGGACAATATACAACCTAAAAAAAGGCAAGTCGTACTCGAACTTGAACACCTCCCAAGCACCTCACTACCTAGCGACGATCAGCTCCTCGTCTCGTCTTAAGCGATGTGCGATCTCTACTACGCTTCTGACTCTTAGGAAGCTTTGACACCACGGACGGTACCACCAGTTGGAACTTAACATTAACACCTACGAGACAATTGCTCATCATTGCTGCAGACACTGTTGCGCGCGACATAGGCTTATCGAACTAATGACATGAAATGGTGATAAAATACAGCAGCAATGATTCTCTGTCTAATAAGCACCTATCCTACCTTGGCTCTTCTCCTTCTCGACTACCTTCGACAAGTCGCCCTATAAAAACGCCATTCCCACAGCACTAAGGAGTCCTTTCACTACCTGCGTGACAACACCTGTAGCTGGGACAGGCGCAGAGACGCTCCGAGGAGCTCCCATTTCAGTGTCATCGTCGTTACGCTTTTGTACAAAAGCCAACTTAGCTCTCACAGAGCCGCCGATATCGTCACCAACGACAACCTTAGGGATGCTCTCGAGTTCCGAGGCGACATACCTTCATAACACTCGAAGAAGAGATGACAAAGGAGTGGTATTACTTTCTACGGTTACCAGTGATAGCGTAACCACTATGAGGCATCGCTTCACTCCGGAAATCCAAAGGCTTCGCCACAATAACCTAAATTCTTCCTTATACCACTTCCGAATCGCTCATCCAGTTACCTTAGGGAAAGCCGCCTCTGGATCGTCCGGATAGAGGAAAGCGTTCTTCGGCATAGCAGGTTTCACAAAGACACCTACACATAGCAGTGTTGGAGGAATACAGGTTCGCGTTCCTCAGCTGATCCCAGGAGTTTCCCCACCAATTATGGAAGTTTATACACGAATTCGGGTAGAAGTGTGCGAAAACTCCCAAAAATTATTATATCGTCAGCAACACATGTGGTGCATATTTTCCCACACCGCCTTGATTCTGAGCCCTATACCCACCGACTACCACTGGCGACTTCTCGCAACCTCTGGTTGGTGTCCTGGAGTCGTTTCTTATCGATGGTGGCGCTCACCAACTGCCTCTTACAGGTTCTGAAGCGCTTCTTGACCTTAGAACGGATCGACTTGGCCATCACCAATAAGTACAAGGAACTACAAATACGACTCAGACGCAGCAAGTAGGAGTGAGATTGGCAGCTAGTATATGTAAAGAAACGAAGCGCATTTCCTCTGGTAACGGGATAAATTCTGCTACTTGACTGCAAGTTGCTGGGAGGACATCATCTTGAAATTCTCGCTCGCCCAGACGACACAACAATCTGACTCGCCAGGTATTAATCTATGGGTAGGAACGACAGGTAAACAAAATGGTAGATTGTTGCGCCTAAAGGAAAGGCGCTGATTTGGAAGTACAACAAGTCAATAACGAGCAAACTAAAACCTTATCACATCAAATAAGTATCAAGTAGACCTGCTGCCAGGAGAACAAGGGAATCGGTCTCAGTCGGGAAATTTCAGTTGCTCATCAGTGATCAGTTCACATACGATATATAGATACACTATTTTAAACTTTAGAGAAGATCGTTAGCTAGCACGTCTCAAATTGAGAGTCTCAGTCCTCTTTGCTGGAATCGAAGACAAGAGTTGGACGAATCTCTCGCCTGATGAAGGCATAACTGAACTCATGAGCGATGTCGAAGGCGCAATGCTGCTGAGGAACTTTCGGCGGAGGACAGGAACCAGGGAACTATCAACCAGAAAGCTCTCACCCAGAAAGCTCTTAACCACGAGGCTCTCAACCAGGAGGCTCTCATCCAGGAAGCTCTCAACCAGGAAGCACACAACCAGGAAGCTTTCAACCAGGAAGCTCTCAACCAGGAATCCTCCAACAGGAAACACTCGAACAGGAAGCACCTGAGCGCGAAGCATTCGACTCGGAAGCATTCGACGCTCGAATTTCGTCCGCGAAGCTCGAGCCAGGTGACTATGGCAGATCATCCGGATTCCGGAATGAGTGCTCACCATACATTCATGCTTACTCACCATAATAACATCAACAGACGGTGATGGTAATCATGCATCAGCCAGGATCGGCGATTGAGTAGCATTATCGAAAATTCAACTGCACTGCGAACATACCGCGTGACGCTCGAAATTCGAGCCTCGAATACTGAGTAGACTATGCAAGTTAACATTAACGACGCTAATTTTGCATAGCCCCGTAATAGTAGCATATTGCTACTATTACGTGGCTATTACGTATTACACGGTGTAATTTACACCACTACTAGCGGCGTTCCTGTAGCGCACGCCTGGCGTGCCACGCCATTTTTGCGTACACGACTGCAATTGCGGTGTTAAATTGTTCAGCACACAGTTAGTCATACCGAGTGAAACTACATTACGACTCGCAGCACTTCGAATTGTACTAAAGCCCGAACTGCTGAGCATGGATTGCATGAGTCCTCCTATGTTAGTCTTAGACATATCAATGATATGTCATAAACAATCATTTCCCCGTCATCCCCCGCCATCTTGTTCGTGTGAGCTCCAGTCACTGGAGCTACCCTGGTGTCCAGATTGGTCACCAGGGTAGCCAGTTAGTGTCCAGACTGGACAGTCCAGTAATACTGGACCAGTACCACTTCGTGCATCCCTAGGTTTTGCCTTCACGAATTTGTCTTCGAATCTGCTAAATACCGGTTATCGGTGTTCAAATTCCCAGTGGACGATATCGCGGTGCATGTGAACGGAACTATAAGACAATATGAGGGGGTGAAGCTTGAGCTTCATCCCGTACATAGCTATTACCTAATTTAGCTTTGTACTTAGCTAAGCTAAGTACAAACTCCCGCGATTGGATGAAAAAGAATAAGCACAGGGAAGCAGAACCGTTCTGCCAGATCGTCATAGAGAATTCCGGAATTACAGTAACTGTGATTGCAGAACATGATGTAGAGTAGCGGGCACGAAAAGGCCCGTTCACATAGCTCGTTTATATACGGAGCTCACATATAATGGAGAACCGACGTAAGTAAATTTTGCTTACGTCGGTTCTCCATTGTATGAACGTTCAATTTGATTGGCGGTTTCTAAAAACGCCAACTTTGGACATTTTTATGTCGAACTTCGACAGTCGAAGTAGATGATGTCCCGCGGGTCCTATCCAGTGACCATTCCACCAAAGTAGACGTTACAAGCCAGTTTAGGTGCTCACTAATGGTACTCCATGCCTCGACAAATTTCCTTCATCTTGCGAGAAGGAGCTGAGCAGTGCTCAGTCAGCACGACCCATCTTCGAAGTAAGAGCGTCGGGGAAGACTGCCGGCTGATCGGTCTCCAGAAGAGTCCTCACGGCTTCGTATCCAGTCCGGGTAGCTTCGGATATCAGTTGGCTAGAGGGTTGAATCGAGTCCAAGCTGTTGGTAGAACTATCGGCGTACTCTACCCTAGAAATAATGATGACCTCCAAACTGTGACGAAATACAATACTATTGTATCAGAATAGCAATGGATAATATCCATTGGATATGATGCCGGGGACACCGACGTTCAGCAATTATTGACATTGACCTCAAATTTCATCCACACTCCATTACTCTATAGTTCATAGAATCTCGATCTCCTTTAACTCGAGGAAATATTGCTTGCAGAGCCCCAGGGAGTGGCAAGACGTTCTCGCTCCTGTATGCCGCAGCTATATGTGAGTCAAAAGGCCTCGAAATAACCCTAACTTCTCTCTCCAGTGAACGGATGGCACAGCTTGGAGGTGTAAACCTGCATCAATTCATTTGATTCGATTGATAGTACTATGGGAGGAGTCTAGTACCCTTAGCCCCTGAATTCACGGCATCCCACTTTTCCGATGTTACCGTGCACGCGGACGGAACCATATTCAAGTTGAATATGTTTGAATAATTCAACCTAGCCCATTGTCCTCATACGCTCCTGCTACTGGGACCTATTCGAAAGGTCATTTTCGATACAAAGTATCGAAAATGATAATGTCACTATCTTCGCTAGATATTATTATTAGTATCTCAAATAGCTTGCCTCATATACAATACACCCCATGCTTGGACTTCCATAAACGGAAACAAAAATACTTTCAACACTGATTCCCTGCTGTGCACAAGTTGCAACGACGAAGTCGAGCTTGGCCTTGCTGATATTACTAGCCTTCTATATACAATTTATATCCGATACAAATTCGTCACCATCCGAAATACCGGATCCCATGATGAAAGATTTTCATGATCGACCTGACCCCTCTCTTACCGCAAATATTGTACAAACAACTGTGCTTGAAGGTTTCAAACAATCTCCTCCTCATGGTACATCTAGGCGGCAGTGCCGCCGCGGCACAAAGAAGCGAGCTGAGTCAGCTCAGCTGATAATCTCGACTAATGCCTTACAACGGCTATGCTACATGCCGAAGTCGTTCACGTGCAATGCTGATATGTCATAAAATTCACATCTCTCTATTGAGTTCAGTTCTCAAAGAACCGCGCAGCCTCGTATTGCGTCACTACTCTATAGTTCATAGAATCTACGTGTATACTTGTATTGTATCAGAATACCCATGGCTATGATATTCGAGACACCGAAGCTCAGCAATTATTGACATTGACCTCGAATTCCGCGGCGGAATTTCCGCCCACACTCCACTACTCTATAGTTCACAGAATCTAAGTGTACACTTGTATTGATACAGTAACAATATGAATGAAGTTGATCAGATGAGCTTCTGCAACCTATCAGTAAATAACTGACAGTAACTCTAATCGGGGATGACAGTGAACTTCTAGGATCACCGGGTAAGACTTACCGGGAAAAGACTGAATGGAAAATGATACCTGTTGGTATAACAGTTACACAAAAAAAGTGTAGTTGCTACACCACGGCGTATGGTGGTTCAAGCGTTAGACATGGAAGTGAATATCAGCAAGCTGGCGTTCTCGGGCGTTCGCGTACACAAAGCGAGGAATCGTATGCGTAACAAGCCCAAGTGCTTATCTTTCCCAATACAACCTTTCGATTTATGGCAGTACGATCTGCTTTAACTCGAGGAAATATTGCTTGCGGAGCCCCAGGGAGTGGCAAGACGTTCTCGCTCCTGTATGCCGCAGCTATATGTGGGTCAAAAGGCCTCGAGATAACCCTAACTTCTCTCTCCAGTGAACGGATGGCACAGCTTGGAGGTGTAAACCTGCATCAATTCATTTGATTCGATTGATAGTACTATGGGAGGAGTCTAGTACCCTTAGCCCCTGAATTCACGGCATCCCACTTTTCCGATGTTACCGTGCACGCGGACGGAACCATATTCAAGTTGAATATGTTTGAATAACTTAACCTAGCCCATTGTCCTCATACGCTCCTGCTACTGGGATTATAATGTCACTATCTTCGCTAGATATTATTATTAGTATCTCAAATAGCTTGCCTCATATACAATACACCCCATACTTGGACTTCCATAAACGGAAACAAAAATACTTTCAACACTGATTCCCTGCTGTGCACAAGTTGCAACGACGAAGTCGAGCTCGGCCTTGCTGATATCACTAGCCTTCTATACACAATTTACATCCGATACAAATTCGTCACCATCCGAAATACCGGATCCCATCATGAAAGATTTTCATGATCGACCTGACCCCTCTCTTACCGCAAATATTGTGCAAACAACTGTGCTTTGAAGGTTTCAAGCAATCTCCTCCTCATGGTACATCTAGGCGGCAGTGCCGCCGCGGCACAAAGAAGCGAGCTGAATCAGCTCAGCTGATAATCTCGACTAATGCCTTACAACGGCTATGCTACATGCCGAAGTCGTTCACGTGCAATGCTGATATGTCATAAAATTCACATCTCCCTATTGAGTTCAGTTCTCAAAGAACCGCACATCCTCGTATTGCGGCAGAAGTCCAGGACTCCTGCCGCAGGACCTGCCATAGCTCGACAGTTGAACTTCAACTATATTATTCCATTCACCATCAAGCCTTTTCAAGATTAGCGACCCCAAGAATGTAGCGACGGGGTTCCACCAGTTCTCACAAAAAGTAACTTTATCAACTCTTGAAGGGTTGAACTTGACAAGTTCAAATTGAACTGTTCAACTTGTGTGAGGCGCAAACAAACCGTGTCACTAAACTTTGTGTCCTAAACCACTAAATTAGGCGCGCGCTCCCCTGTGATCGGTTTATGCGCGCCTAAGGTTAAGAAAAAGAACATCCTTCACACAGTTTCCAGGTGTATGGATTGACAAACGTATAACCCGACTAACCGCTATTATTATAGGCCGTGCAGGCCTTTCCCGCATGAGGTATGGTCTTGCTATTACTACCCGCTACCGCTGGATTCCCCTCCGTCAGCGTAAGTGGTTATCTTTTGACGAGAGGAGAGACACTCCTACGTCGGAGAGACTGCTCAAACCTTCCTCCACGCGAATGGTATCAACAAAAACTGGCTGAACAGTTGTTCGATTAAGTGGGTGAAAAATCTCGCGTGTCAAGACTTGAGACGGAGGTTATATCAACTGCTATTAATTGCCAGGTTCCACAAAGATCCAACAGGGTTAACGACACGTCAGAGAAAAAGTCTTCGAGAGGTCTGGCATCGGTACTTAGTCTTCCCTTTACCTACCGTGGCACGGTAACCGTGCTTTTTTTCCCGGAAAAATGCATTGCCGTGGAAGCCAAGACACTTTTATCATCTAATAATCAGAGGATAATAACTTTTATCAGCCGATTACTTCTCTGTCAACCCGCAAAACCAACAACTCAACTCGTAATGCATTGATGAATTCACTTTCCACTCAATAATTCAGGTCAAAAGTTTCGCTGACAAGTCCCCAAGTTGAGGAATCAAGTGCAAGTACACCAACTTTCCACCACTCCTGTGGTCGACCGAAGCTCGAGAAGCCCATCAGCATCATTAATAAGTGATCCTCGATGAGTCATACTGTTCGAAGTATAGTGATCTGTATGCAGTGCATGGTGAATGATATAGTGTTGGGTTTCGCAGCTCAAAAAACTTGGAAGGTAAATCAAAATGTAGCTCACAAAACGAGTGTCGAGTTTGCCCAGTGAGACATGGACTTGAGACAGATCCGCCTGGCCCGCTGAACCCTTTTCGTTAACTTGCTTCCCTTCGGGTTTCTGGTTCATCTGTTTCCCTTCGGGTTTCTGGTTCATCTGTTTCCCTTCGGTTTTTGGTTCACTTGTTTCCCTTCGGTCTCTAACGCCGTTGAAACGAAGTCGCGCATTATATCGACTATGAGGGCGCGCGCTGAAATTTAGTGATTTAGGACACAAAGTTTAGTGACAGTGTTTGGACACGCCCTTGTGCGCGCTTGCTGCGCGCCGCCCGCGATTCTTCTCGCTCCGCCCCCAATTTTCCTGATTCAGCCCACTACATTTCTTGTTCCGCCCTTCACTATCTCTTCATCCCGCCCTGTGTTGCGGTTGATCATGGTCTACAAAAATGTGTTAATACACATGCGATGTGTATATCGCTAAGTTAATATACATGGATCTAGTCATCAAAAAACCCTGTGTGCCTCTGTGTTGGAGACTTCGAGAAATGAAACCCTCAGAAATCCGCTTGAAACACAATTCTCGTGTTCGACACCCCACATACGAAATGACTGGGCTTATTGAGAGGCATACAAACCAACTCGACACTCACTCAATCAATTATCACCTATACTAGATATGGTAATGCCCAATTTAACAGGCCAAGATAGTGACCGTTATCAATACACTAATCGAACCCATCATCAGGAGTATACACTCACCATACCACACCATTGTAAACTATTGCATGTGGTAAGCAGCCCCCTCCATTAAGGTGTTCACTAGTATGCAGATACTATTACGCCCAACAGGATTAGATCATCCTAAAGTACAGCAGTTACTACAGGTTTCTGTGAGGGAGGTTACAAACAGGATGAGAGAGTAATAATACCCAAACCTATTACTGGTAGTAGTATTCCTATCAATAACATTAGGCTAACTCATAGTGATGTTGGGATATTGATAGAGACTCTATCTAGTGTTTACAATAGACTTAATACACCTGAGAAGGGTATCGATAAGAGGCTTATACCCTATGCTTCACCTATACTAGATGGTATGCAGAATAAGGTCTTACTATGGGTTATAGTAGTGGGCATAGTAATAATAGGTACTTGCCAATATCCTCAATACTCTACCTCATCAGCACTTAGCAGACGTCCTTGAACTGTATCTAGCATCAATAGTTCATCATAGGAGTGGTATTGTTGCTAATGCTACTCCTAGTACTACTATGATCAGTATAACACCATCAGTAGAGCTAATGCCTGCTCTATTACATGCTATACGTAATACTAATTCTAGGATCCTTATAGAGGTATCCTTCCCCCCCATCAGGTAGTAGAGGTAAGGAGTTATCCCTATGATCATTAGTAGATGTATTATCAACTGTAGGATATTCATCTAATGGTAGTAGTAATGACGATGATGAAGGAGTTGCTCATAATGCTCATCAATATTAATAGGTACTGACCTCCTATCATCTAGTGAGCGTAGTGCCTTAAAGGAGGCATTGAAAGCAGCATTCAACACTAATGATGATGTAGAGTATGATAGGCTACGGAAGGACATATCGGCATAGCGACATATCACATGTCGCTGCGCGTTCCAAGTTGCACTGGTGTCACCGTGACTGTATTAGTTTGACGTTATCAACAAAGTAGTTTCCTATTATTTCTGATTCCTCCTATATTGAGTTGCTGCCAAGAGTTGTAACACATGGTGGAGAGTAATGCAGCGAGCACTTCTCAGGATTTGGCCCGTTTGATGCCTCTTATCGCTTTATTGAGCCAACCAATTCAAACTTATTCGCCTCTGTGTTGGAGACTTCGAGAAATGAAACCCTCAGAAATCCACTTGAAACACAATTCTCGTGTTCGACACCCCACATACGAAATGACTGGGCTTATTGAGAAGCATAAACACCAACTCGATTGATTGAGCTTCAACTTGATTGTTAAAATCGAACTGAATTAAGTAGTTACGAAAACTACGAGTATAAGATCATTGTACTGGTAATCACCATGTTTAAGTCTGTTAGAAAGAAATATCTGCTATCTGGTATCTTCGCCTCACTCTACCTTCTCGATAATCGCATTGATTCCGAACTTTATCTGCGCGCATAGCGGCAATATTCGGCTATTTTCCTGCATGGCACTGATCTCACCTCCAGCACAGCGCCTTCGTTATATATCTGGCTCGCTGGCTTCTTAACTCCAATACGTACGAGATATTCACTACCGGCTTGCAATCGGTTGTAGAATTTGTGAGCGGCCTATTAAGCGAACGAGCTGTATAGAACAAGTAAAATCAAGCCCACTGCATCGAAGAATATCATAATCCTTCATTTAATCCTCCATCTCTAAAAACTCTAAGCATCAACGAAAGTGCAAAGAAAAGTTGGTCCGTGCATATCGGCTAAGACCTCAACATAAGGCTTGAGGATGATGCCAACCATACTCATATTACACGAGTCATGTCTCAACAGGCTGTATCAACGGAGCTATGCATGTACATTAATAAATCTTGGGAGGTCAATAATTTGGTCGTCACTGGTGAAATATTCAATTGGATATCTCCAAGTGATTGGCTCGCCCCTGAGAATCTTCCTTAATGCTTTGAACGATAACCCGGCAGTGGAAGCATGTAGCCTAGTGTTGGCATTGGTAGAATGATTCACCAGGTACCATATATCGCCACTGCCTATGGGATCCTGCCAACTGAAAGTAGAGCGGTTATAATAGAGAAATGCAGAACCATTTTGCTCCTGAGGTACCAGTACCAGCGCATCCTTGGGGTGGCCAGGCTGTTGTAAGGCGTCGAATGCTGTCAACTCATGCCCGAAATATCGGGACACCTTCGAATGGATTATAGTATCTCCTCCATCGAAATACCTATCTGCCACGAGGATACGACCGCAAACTGGATGACGAGCCAAACGTAGGCCCATAGCTCTCAATAGATCCTTGTGCTGGACTTCTAACGAATCTGGTGGGAGGTCGAGGACAGCCGTCCTCGTCCGACTATTCGAAGATTTAGTGATCATGCCATTAGCCACGCAGGGTGTCGAGTCTGCTGATAACGCTCGCTTCGAAACAGCACCACCTTTTTTCGCTGCAGTTTTAGCATTCGTCTCGAAAAGTAACGTTGATGTAGCACCCGCCGTATAGCTGATCCACGATGACCTCCCGAGTTTCTCAAATACATATCGTCTGCCCTCTTCAAAAACCTCAACAGTCATACAGCGACTTGACAGAGGGAACCATGTCCCAAACATAGCGGCATCATCACCATCCGAGAGGCAAAGGGCGCCGTCGATCCTCATCTCTAAAACAACAGTCGGGCCGTTTGGAGCCAACCGTAAAGAAAATGTAGCCGGCAGAGTTGGGTAGTTTTGCGAGAGGGTATCGTGCACGTCAAAACATTTAACGCGCTCGAAGGGATTGGGTGGCAATGGAGCCTACGTGGCGTACTAAACATTCGTTGTGATAGGTTTCTTAGGTTACCTGTGGGATTGGATTTGGAAGATTAGTAACTAAATCCTTTGTATAAATATGGGGTCCTACCTGAGAAATAGAGCACATTAGCGATGCCGATTCGTGTTCGCGCTCGCTGAGCGGCTCTTGGCACCTACTTGTGTAGTCAAGAGTTGCTTCAGCTTGCATTCGACAATTGCTGCTCTGTTGAGTGCCTCCTCCGAACTGACTCGCTCAGCTACCACGGAACCTGTCATCGCGCTGCATATACTACTTCAATTGGGCATTCCAACCAGAGGAATCCTTCTGTATCACAACAAGCTGCCTTAGCGAGCTGACCCCCCCTGCATTCAGGATGCATTTTTCTTCTATCCACTCGAGTTCAAGAAGTCCATCAGCTGCGAAGATGACTTGGAGCAATCGGCACTGAATCACTCCTCACATACTCACTGTAGCACTCGTCAAGGACTTGGCTTACCTTTGAGAATTTTTTTCTGGTCTCTCGCTCAATTTTAGCCCTGAGCAGTAAGTAAAAGGGTGTTCGTTTACGTTTTCGGAACTGCGAAAGAGCCTTATCCAGTCTGATAGAGGCACTGCTATCCACACTCACTGTCGACTACCATTACTTCTTGAATTGGTCAAATATATTCCTGTAGTAGGTGGGGAAATGTAGACTAGTGATAATCCTCGAAGTGGCGGCTCGATCCGAAGTCTGTTCGTCAGGTAAAGCGGAACCATCATTGCGTTCTCCATCCAATACCTAAGGTGGGACCTTTCGCGAGTATTGCGAGAGGTGGCGGAGAAGCGACTAAAAAAACAGCAATGAAAAAGTGAAAACGAGCTTCGAAGATCCTATAAAAGAGCTCTGAAACTTGAGTTCATTAACATACTCGACTCACTCTCCTCGGAGTAGATTCATCAACAACTGCTAATTCCGAAGCTCCAACGTTCGACTCCGAGGATTGCAGTTCGGGAACGACGTCCTCTGGAGGAACCTATATAGGGGCAGGGAAGTCTCACTGACACGGGAAGCAACTCCACCTCTAGCTCGTAGGCTGGACTACTGCACGACTGTTTTGAGTCGCACTGTCGCAGGTTTACATCACACCATCGCGCATAATAGCGTCCCAACCGCTTCAAACAATGACCCCTGATGCTAGAAATATCTCTCGCCCGAATGGCAAGGCCGAGAAGACGTGGCTGTGAATGAGGACCGGCGAAAGCGTCCCACGATCTTATCAGGCTGCACCACCGAGAGGCCAAATCCGCCACTCGGCTCGGCGGCCGCAGGCTTCGCATAATATGCAACTCAGTTACGGAGACGCACAGCTGCCGATCGTGGATCATCTTCATCAGAGCCCGCACCGCGTCCCGCTTTCGCAGACTCTGATTCTTAGGCATAATTGCTGCTCGGGTGAACTGTAGAGGATACACACTGTGAATTGTACTTGCGTTCAGGTCTGTACGCATGCACACAGTGCGCAAATTGCCGTGCAAATAAGAGAATTGCTACAACCCCCTCAACCTATGAGCGATACACAACCTTCTCCCCAACGTCTCCTCGTGCGCCTACTGACTGAGCTCCGTCAGGATATTGTCGAGTCTATCGATCGAGCCATTAGTACGGTGAATAATCGCCCGGCCTACGGTACCATGGGTCACCGTGTATTACCCTGTTGATATCTCCTGTCGTCAAGGTGCCAGTACTCGCACATGCAATCGTCGCTTCTCCACCGCTTCCACAGCGAGCACTCGCCAAAGCAGCCACGACGAATTCGCCCTCAAGGAAGAACTTCCTCAAGATCGCGGAAGTCCAGGCCCAAGGTGGTCAAGCAGTCATGTAGATTTCGGCATCTAGAAAGAAGCTTCTTCGAGTTTCAGGAGCCCTCAGCCTCACATGCGTCTCGGCGTCAAGGAAGGTTCTCGCTTGACTCTCAAGAGTCCTCACCCTAGAAGAGCGTCCGTGCGCCGCACCAGCCAACCTTATTCGAGGACGCTAATTAGCAATCTTCGAGTGGGTTCCACTGAGTAAGTAACATTTCGACTGTGCGATAACAATTTGGGGAAACGCCTCTCAGACAGACTGTCTGTTCTTCTAGAATCATTCTGCTCAGCTGGTGCTTGCGGGGTCGAGTCGTCAGCAAATCGGAAATTTTCGGTATATCTACCGGAGAGCTGTTTCACGCCCACATCTCGGATGAAGACTCAAATACAGTCAAGCTGCTGTTCTTCGATGAGGTAGTCCTTGACTACCTGGTTGAGCGTTCCAAAGCATGCTCGGCGTAGGCGGCCCATATATTCCACGACTCCATCCAAATTGGGGCCATATACTACTTCCGTAACGGCAAGGTCCTTCGAGCTCATTCGAAATTCAATAAGGAGGCAGATGTCGAAGTAAGTCGCTGTCATACTGCTACTAATGGGATTAATCTCATTGAATTCAGATCAAATTCGACACGTCGGCTGTTATTGAAGCTGCCGATGACATCAAAGATGTTACCGAGCTGGATTAAATTCGAAGATGACTACCAGTATAGCACTGACAGGATTACAACACTTTGCATGGGCCCATGACGGGCCTACTGGACTGCACAATACCCCTGTATGTCAGGTGACCCCGACTCTTTGAAGACTCAGGATCTAGCCGGCAAATGAGACGACTCTCTCAATTCTGACTCTGCGGCTACTCTTCTTAATTAGGATTGACTTACCAATTTTGTTTGTAGTGGACTCCCCTCTTCACTGGAGTGTTCTTTGCTGGATCATTCACACACGAGTGTATGTCCAAGCTAGATGATCCACTTATGTCCAGCTAGCCTAGCTAAGCACATTCTTTGGTTTCCAAAGTTATTTTGCTCATTCGAGTCAATACTGTACTCGTTCTTTCGCTAGAGTTGTGTTGTCAAGGGTGACTGGATTGGAAGTGATGGCCACAGCCGACTCGGACCTTCACTGTCGAAAACTGCACAAATGGTCAATTTCCACATCATTTCGTGATCATATGGTCGGAATAGTGAATCTTATAGTGGACGGTGCAACTCTGCAGCCTCCGAACCGGATCGGCGCCCCACAGAGAGATCCTCTCCTGCACAAATCGTCAGTTTCCACACCATTTCTTTATCTTGTGGTCGGAGTAGCGAATGCTATAGTAGTGGATGCAACTCTGCAGCCTTCGAGCCGGATCGGCGCCTCACAGAGAGGTCCTCCCCTGCACAAATCGTCAGTTTCCACATCATTTCGTGATCATGTGGTCGGAATAGTGAATCTTATAGTGGCGGATGCAACTCTGTGGCGTTTGAGCCAGATCGGCAGCTTTTAAAGAGGTTCTCCACTGCACAAATCATCAAACTCCACATTATTTCTTTATCATGTGGTTAGGATAGTGAATCTTATAGTGGTGGATTCAACTCTGCAGCCTTCGAGCTGGATTGGCGCCTCACAGAGAGGTCTTCCCCTGCACAAATCGTCAGTTTCCACACCATTTCTTCATCTTGTGGTCGGAATAGTAAAAATTGTAGAGGTGGATTCAACTCTGCAGCCTTCGAGCCGGATCGGCGCCTCACAGAGAGGTCCTCCCCTGCACAAATCGTCAGTTTCCACATCATTTCGTGATCATGTGGTCGGAATAGTGAATCTTATAGTGGTGGATTTAACTCTCTGGCCTTCGAGGCGGACCGGCGCCTTTAAAAGAGGTCCTCCCCTGCACAAATCGTCAGCTTCCACATCATCTCTTTATCATGTAGTCGAGATAGTAAATTTTATAGTGGTGGATTCAACTCTCTGGCCTCCGGGCCGGATCGGCGCCTTCTCAAGAGGTCCTCCGCTGCACAAATCGCAAGTTTCCACATCATTTTTTATCTTGTGGTCGGAATAGTAAAACTTATATAGGCGGATTCAACTCTCTGGCCTTCGATCCGGATCGGCGCCTCACAGAGAGGTCCTCCCCTGCACAAATCGTCAGTTTCCACATCATTTCGTGATCATGTGGTCGGAATAGTGAATCTTATATTGGCGGATGCAACTCTGTGGCGTTTGAGCCAGATCGGCAGCTTTTAAAGAGGTTCTCCACTGCACAAATCATCAAACTCCACATTATTTCTTTATCATGTGGTTAGGATAGTGAATCTTATAGTGGTGGATTCAACTCTGCAGCCTTCGAGCTGGATTGGCGCCTCACAGAGAGGTCTTCCCCTGCACAAATCGTCAGTTTCCACACCATTTCTTCATCTTGTGGTCGGAATAGTAAAAATTGTAGAGGTGGATTCAACTCTGCAGCCTTCGAGCCGGATCGGCGCCTCACAGAGAGGTCCTCCCCTGCACAAATCGTCAGTTTCCACATCATTTCGTGATCATGTGGTCGGAATAGTGAATCTTATAGTGGCGGATGCAACTCTGTGGCGTTTGAGCCAGATCGGCAGCTTTTAAAGAGGTTCTCCACTGCACAAATCATCAAACTCCACATTATTTCTTTATCATGTGGTTAGGATGGTGAATCTTATAGTGGTGGATTCAACTCTGCAGCCTTCGAGCCGGATCGGCGCCTCGCAGAGAGGTCTTCCCCTGCACAAATCGTCAGTTTCCACATCATTTCTTTATCTTGTGGTCGGAATAGTAAAAATTGTAGAGGTGGATTCAACTCTCTGGCCTTCGAGCCCGATCGGCGCCTCACAGAGAGGTCCTCCCCTGCATAAATCATCAATTTCCACATCATTTCTTGATCGTGTGGTCGGGGTAGTAAATCTTATAGTGGTGGGTTTAACTCTCTGGCCTTCGAGGCGGACCGGCGCCTTTTGAAGAGGTCCTCCCCTGCACAAATCGTCAGTTTCCACATCATCTCTTTATCATGTAGTCGAGATAGTAAATTTTGTAGTGGTGGATTCAACTCTGCAGCCTTCGAGCCGGATCGGCGCCTCACAGAGAGGTCTTCCCCAGCACAAATCGTCAGTTTCCACATCATTTCTTCATCTTGTGGTCGGAATAGTAAAAATTGTAGAGGTGGATTCAACTCTGCAGCCTTCGAGCCGGATCGGCGCCTCGCAGAGAGGTCTTCCCCTGCACAAATCGTCAGTTTCCACATCATTTCTTTGTCTTGTGGTCGGAATAGTAAAAATTGTAGAGGTGGATTCAACTCTGCAGCCTTCGAGCCGGATCGGCGCCTCACAGAGAGGTCCTCCCCTGCACAAATCGTCAGTTTCCACATCATTTCGTGATCATGTGGTCGGAATAGTGAATCTTATAGTGGCGGATGCAACTCTGTGGCGTTTGAGCCAGATCGGCAGCTTTTAAAGGGGTTCTCCACTGCACAAATCATCAAACTCCACATCATTTCTTTATCATGTGGTTAGGATAGTGAATCTTATAGTGGCGGATTCAACTCTGCAGCCTTCGAGCCGGATCGGCGCCTCACAGAGAGGTCCTCCCCTGCACAAATCGTCAGTTTCCACATCATTTCGTGATCATGTGGTCGGAATAGTGAATCTTATAGTGGCGGATGCAACTCTGTGGCGTTTGAGCCAGATCGGCAGCTTTTAAAGAGGTTCTCCACTGCACAAATCATCAAACTCCACATTATTTCTTTATCATGTGGTTAGGATGGTGAATCTTATAGTGGTGGATTCAACTCTGCAGCCTTCGAGCCGGATCGGCGCCTCACAGAGAGGTCCTCCCCTGCACAAATCGTCAGTTTCCACATCATTTCGTGATCATGTGGTCGGAATAGTGAATCTTATAGTGGCGGATGCAACTCTGTGGCGTTTGAGCCAGATCGGCAGCTTTTAAAGAGGTTCTCTACTGCACAAATCATCAAACTCCACATTATTTCTTTATCATGTGGTTAGGATGGTGAATCTTATAGTGGTGGATTCAACTCTGCAGCCTTCGAGCTGGATCGGCGCCTCACAGAGAGGTCTTCCCCTGCACAAATCGTC